GAAGCTCTTTGCTCCTGGCTTCAGATCAGCTTAGCTCTAGCCGTGGTGGCCACTTGGGGAGTAAATCAGCAGATGGAAGATTTTTCTGTGTTTCCTTCTCTGTATAAATTTACCTTTCCAATAAAGGTAAATAAATCTTTAAAAAAAGAATTTAACTGAAGCTTGAAGGTCTTCAAGTCCCAGATGTGTCCAACGTTATTCAGCAAAGATTTATTTATTAAAGAAAACCAAATTCATTTTCTATCACATTAAAAAAAATCAACTGAGAAAATCAACTGAGGGCCATGCTTTTCGCATGGTATTTAAGATGCAACTGGTGCCACGTGGAGAGTGAACCAACAGATGAAAAATCGATCCCTCCCTCTCCGTAATTCTCTCAAATAAATAAATCAGTTAAAAAAAAAAGACAGACTTGGAGCACTCACATCCCACATCAGAACGCCTGAGTCCAACTCTTGCCTTTACTCTTTTTTTTTTTATAAGATTTATCTTTATTATTTTTTTATTGGAAAGGCGGATATACAGAGAGGAGAGACAGAGAGGAAGATCTTCCATCCGATGATTCACTCCCCAAGTGAGCGCAACAGCCGATGCTATGCCGATCCGAAGCCAGGAGCCTCTTCCGGGTTTCCCACGAGGGTGCAGGGTCCCAAAGCTTTGGGCCGTCCTGGACTGCTTTCCCGGGCCACAGGCAGGGAGCTGGATGGGAAGTGGAGCTGCCGGGATAGAACCGGCGCCCATATGGGATCCCGGGCGTGCAAGGCAAGGACCTTAACCACTGCGCCACCGCGCTGGGCCCTCTTGCCTTTACTCTTAACTCCAGTTTCTCACTCATGTGAACCCTGGGAGGCAGCAGGCTCAAGTACTTGGGTCCCTCCAGCCTGCACAAGAGAACTGGACTGAACTGCCAGCTTTCTGCTTCTGTCCGCTGGATGCCCTTGGAAAGTGAATGGGAAATCTCTGTTCCCCTGTCTCCCCCTCTGCCTTACAGAATGACTGACTGAAATCACACATTTGTGACAAAAACTGCCCTGCACCTATGTTCCAATTACACAAATGTTAAACTGCATAAATTTATCAAAAACTACTGAGAGGATTCCAGTCTGATATTTCACAGAAACGATACAGTTAAGGTCACATTTCACAGCTTTGTTTGAGGATTTTCAGTGGGATGAGTATTTAGCATAAGGATGCTCCCCCCACAAAAATATCTGTACAAACACACACATACATATTACAATAACCTCTGCCAGCATCCTCTACATGCTCAACCAGAGGGGTTCCAAAGCTTTCTAAGTGGCACAGCTATCAAGAAACTTATTTTTAATACTTAGTTTCTCCATTGTAATTCACTTGGTTGCATATATTGAAATATATGGTTACATATACTGAAAACAAAACTTTCTTAAGAAATGGAAAAGCAAAGGTAGTGTTGTGGTACAGTCAATGAATCTATTGCCTGCGATGCCAACCGCCCCTCTGGACACCAGCTGGAGTCCTGGCTGCTCCACCTCCCATCCAGCTCCCTGGGAAAGCAGCAGAGGAAGGGCCTAGGTGCTTAGGTTTCTGTACTCACATGGGAGACCAGGAAGAAGCTCACGGCTCCTGGCTTCTACCTGGCCCAGCCCCAAACGTGCAGCCATCTGTGGAGTGAACCAGGGAATAGATTTCTGTCTCTCCAACTCTCTCTGTAACACTGGCTTTCAATTAAACATAAATTTGGAAAAATAATAAAAATTTTTAAATGGAATAAAATGGGACCTGGCACAGTAGCCCAGTGGCTTAAGTCCTCATTTTGCACACACCAGGATCCCATATGGGTGCAGGTTCTAATCCCAGCAGCTCCACTTCTCATCCAGCTCCCAGCTTGTGGCCTGGGAAAGCAGTCGAGGACGGCCCAAAGCCTTGGGACCCTGCATCCACACAGAAGACCTGGAAGAAACTCCTGGTTTCGGCCTTCAGATTGGTTCAGCTTCAATTGTTTCGGCCACTTGGGGAGTCAATCAACGGATGGAAGATCTTCCTCTTTGTATATCTGCCTTTCCAATACAAATAAATAAATCTTAAAAAATAAATAAATAAATAAAATGGCTGCCACATGGCAGTTATTTCTTGGTCTATTTAATCCCTTCAATTCCCACTACCTGGAATAATATAAGCAGTTTAACTAAAAGAAGATGGTAGGTACATACAGACAGAAGTAGATTTTACCTCTATACCATCCAATTCACAGAGCTAAACCGATTCCTGATAGACTCTTTCCTAGCAGACTCTTTCTTGGAAGGTACTATGATTTTTAAAAGTTAGATTTTATTCTCAAAATCAAATATTTCTTTAATTAAAGGTCTCAAAATAAATAGACTTAATTAGGAGCCAGCACAGTGGTATACTAAGCTAAGCTCCTGCCTGCAGCACCAGCATCCCATATGGACACTGATGTGAGGCCATTTCCCACCCAGCTCCCTGCTCGGGTCCTGGGAACACAGTAGAGGATGGGCTGAGTCCTTCGGCCCCTGCACCCACATGGGAGAATCAGAAGAAACTCCTGGCTCCTGGTGTCCAATGAGTCTAGCTCTGACAGTTGTGACCACAGGGTGTGAACCGGCAGATAGAAATCTCCCTGCGTCTCTTCCTCTCTTCCTAACTCTTTCAAATAAAATATTTTTAAAAGATTTTTAATAGATTTAATTAGCTTCAGGAAAATTCTTAAATTGCTAATGACCCATGGCCACCCAAATCCAACTAACAATTAGCATTCATTACTGCTCACCCTGCCTTATACAAGTCAGCACAAAGTCCTTTCCTTGGCAAAGTTTTCCTTGGTTTTTTTTTTCTGAGCGAGTCTTTGGTATCAAATGAGGCAACAACAAAAAAATAGTTAATAGTTTGAAAACTATCTTCTGGCCTTTTGCATTTGGATGCATAATGTCCAGATATCTGTTCAATTCTAAATTATTCATGTTAATGGATAATTATTGACAACAAGGTGCTGATAATCCAAAGTGGGTGAACAAATCGAAAAAAAAATCTATTTCTGTTTTAGAATATATGTTTCAGCATATTTGTCTTCTCAATTACCCCTAACATGAGCTAATATTTGTATGCATTTGCAATCGCTGAGTACATAGCAACCGGCCACTTAGGCGGGGAGGTGCTCCCGGGCATGGCAGTTCAATAGTAGAAATTAGAACAGGCTGCTATTCAGCCTGAAGATGAGCAACATCCATTCCAATTATTTTGCAGTGCTGTTCAGCCTTCAAAGTATCAATAGACTAGCACAGTCAGTCGTTTGGCTACTAAATTTTAAAAGAACCGCTTGAAAAACAATGAAGACAAACAGTGTAATTAATTCTTCATTGTTTGTTTATAATGCATTCATTTGCAAATTATGCACTGCAAATGTTTAACTACAAGTCTGCCTCTCCCTGGCCACCCACTCAGCTAATTCCCAGCAGTCCCCTCCATCACAGCAGGACCTCGATCTCATTTTCAGAATAGTTTCAAAAGTCATAAAATCCAAACTGTGTCCTAAAACTAGCAGGGGCTGGAAGGGGGCTCAGGAATTGGGTGGCAGTAGTTGCAACCTTGCTGTTTGGACACCTGCAGCTCCCATCAGAGCACCTGAGTTAAGTCTCGGCTCCGCTCCCATCCTGGTTTCCAGCAGGTGCCGGCTGAAGCGCGAGACAGTCCCTGCCACAAACGCGGGAGACCCAGACTGAGTTCCAAGCCCCTGGTTTCAGCCCAGATACAGTTGCCAACAACTGGAGGGTGAACTAGCAGAGGTCCGTCTCACCACCTTTCAAATAAAATGAAAAACATATTTTTTTTTCCTAAACCACTGGGATTAGTCACCCTGTCCAACTGGCCTTGCCACCACTCATTCTCTCTCGTGTGTCCTTTCCCACCTAGGAAACAGGTTCTAGAAGACAAAGAGACTCAGCACTCCCCAGGGAGCTCCAGCTCATTCATACACGACTTAGAAAAAAAAAGTCAAAGATGGAAAAATGACCAGCCTTCTACTGCATATCATATTCTATACAAAGTAGAAGTTGAATAAAAGGCAAAATACTGTTAATTCTTGGCTTGATGCTCAGCCAAAAGAAAGCTTGTGAGAATTTCCAGGGCAGGCCTGATGCATAAAATTTCACCAGGCAGTTTCCGTTCACGATTTTACGTGTAAACTGCTCCCAGAGAAGCCATGGAGCTTAGGCCGCCGACAGACTGTACCAGGCAGGGGGATAGCGCGCCTGTGAACGCAGAGCTAAAAATACTCCGGCCCAGTAAACAAATCTCATTCCATCCCGACCCGAGCCACACCGTTAACCTAGTCATTAGGAGAATGAGATCATGCAGCCCCCGGCTTACTCATCTCCAGCTTCTAAAGTTTCCATCGGCTCACGGCAACTTTTTTTTTTTTTCGTAAGTTCACAAGCGTGTCCTAGAATCCCTCACGCGCGCGCACACACACACACACACACACATCTTTTTCGCTCCCTTCCTCCATTACTGGACGCACCTCAGTTTGGCTATAGATTGGGAACAAGCTGCTTCATTTCACTTTTATACTGGGACGTGAAAATGAACTTTATTCTACTCTGGGGCTAGGAGCCGGCATCTTAACCACCTTAAAACAAGAAAAACAAAAACAAAACTCCACCAGCCCCCACCCCGCTCACATCCCCCGAAAAGTCTAGCTGACCAAAGGGTACCGTTCAAACTGCCCAGCACGGCTTAGGAAGGGAAGCCAGGAACAGGGGAGGGCGGCCAGGAACGCGGGGCACAGGTGAAGCGAGGAGCAAAGAGAACAGGGAGGGGACGAAGCGGGGAGCGCTCAGGGCGAGGAGGGGGCGCCCAGGGGCGACGGGCTCTGGGCTGCAAGAGAACCCGACAGCGGACGGGGGCCAGCGGGGAGTCGGAAAGGACAGAGTTTGGGAGTCGGAAGAGGTGGGAGCAGACGGGAGGGAGGAAAGTGTCGGGGCGGGGGTGGGGGGCTCCGTTACCCTCGCGACTCCCGGGGCCAGGCCCTAGGCCGGGGCGGAGCGCGGGGCCCGGCCGCCTCTCCTCATTCCTCGGCAGTGACCCCCGGGTCCGACCGGCCCCTCCCCCGACGACGATGGAGGCGGCGGACACTGCGACCGCGGCTGTGGCTCCACACAGGATCTTGGAGCTGGAGAGCGGGCGGGACTGGCCTTCCCCACTGGCTTTTTTTTTTTTTTCCTCCCTCTCTTTTTTTTTTTTTTTTCTTTTTTTGCCCGCTCCACACCCGATCGCCACTCCGACTCCAGCGGCTGGTTCAGTCAGGATCGGTGGCTTTCGGCCGGCCGGCCGGAAACAAGCGCCCGTTTCCGGCCGGAGCGGGTTGGCGGTGACACCCCAGCCGCCCCGGGCCTCCTCCCGCCCCGCCCCAGCAGCCCCGCCCTCAGCGCCGCTCCCGGGGCCGCCGGCCGGTTTGGCGCTTGCCCCGCGCGTGACCCCGTGTTTTCCAGGCCCGCGTTCCTGAGGCCCGTGGTCTGGAGCCTTCTTGAACGGGAGCTGGCCGTGGGGAGGCGGAGAGGGACCCCGGGGTCTGATGACTTGGCCACAGCACTTTGCCAGAGAGCACGTAGGGGCCGGGTAGTTCTAGAAAGGTGAGATGCTGTAGCATGAGGAGACTGAAATTCTACTTCATCCACACAGTCGTCACTCTGACCAGAGGGAAATGAACGTTTCTTTCTGGTCGATCACCAGCTGGTTAACTTTCCTTTTGAACATACCCTTTGCTTGAAATACTGAATATTTATGTACGTGAGTAGCGATTGTGGACACATCTGCTTTAGGCTGTTAGTTTGAAGTTATGCTGGGACTGAAGCTGGGAGTTGTGGTCCACCCCATTAAACTGCTGCTACTGATAGCCACATTCCGAATCAGTGCCTGGTTGGAATCCCTCCTGCTTCCAGGCTGACCTTCCTAACTGCTAGTGCACGACCCGGAGGCAGAGCTGATGGTCCCTGCGCTTGGTCCCCCGTCCTCCACTCCACTGGAGGAGACCTGGAAGGAGCTCCAGGCTCCTGGCTGTGGCCTGGCCCAGCCCTCTGGGGAGTGAACAAGCAGGTAGAAAACCTCTCTAACTGCTGTCTTCCAAGAGATGGAAATAAATCTACATTGTATTGTTATGTAGCACTTGTCTTTGTAATACTTGTTACAACATGACAGCTGATACTGGAATTCAGCTGTCTGTTGAGTCCCTGCTCTATGCCATGCGCTGTGGTCAGTGATACTAGAAATACAAAAGTTAACAAGACAGAACTCTGGACCTCAAACATCTTACAGTTTAGCAACATACACAAAACTACATCGTGTAAGGCAGAACTCTTGTATGTGCTATGTGAATTATAATGGGCCGTGGTTATAGGAACACGAATAGACAAAGCCATTCCTAGCACATTTGCTACATGGGTGAATATATGTTAGGAGAATTTCAACTGTTTCTACTAATAACTATCTCTAATGACAACCACAAGATGAATTCATGATCTGCTATCATCTAATGAAAGAAATTCTCAGTTTTAATTCTGGTTTCCAACACTGTAGCCTGCAGCTACAGACTCAGACTAGGAAAGCAACACCTAAGACAGGTATCTTCCCAGACAACTGTATAGGGGAAGTTGAAGATTTAGAACTAGGTAGAGAGCCCTGCCTACACACCAACGCCCCGAAGGTGACAGTAGTCTGCATGGTGGGTGCTCAGGACCCACAATAGAGATTGGCAAGTGGAGTCATGCAGAAACCACAGATTTTGGCCACTGCTCAGGGATAAATCTAGGGGTAGGATGAGATTTGACCAGCTATGTTGATCTCTGGCTGAATAATATGGCTCACATTCACTCCTTGCTAGCTAAATCTAAGGTAAGACCCCACATTCACGCCTTGCTAGCTAAGGAAAGACCCGCAGAAGAAGAGTCTCAAAATCAGAAAGGAGTTTTATTTTTATCAAAGCCCTCCAGATCTGTTAAGTATAACAATACTTCCCCCAAAAATGTGGAAAATTAAATTAAAAGACTAGTTTGTTTTGATACAAAAAGTTTTAAACACATGGGTAAGTTTTTTTTTAAAATATGTAATATGCCTTTTCCACAAACTTTTTAAAAATTCCTCACATACAATCTCAACTTTTTTTTAAAGCTTTTTTTTTCCTTTTTTTGAAAGAAGGAGAGAGACAGCTCTTTCATACACTGGTTTACTCCCCAAATGGCCACAGCGGATGGAGCTGGGCTGGTTCAAAGTCAGGAACCAGAACACCCTCGGTGTTTCCCGTGTGGGTGCAGGAGCCCAAGGATTTGGGTCATCTTCCAATTCCTTCCCAGGTACATTAGCAGGAAGCTGGAATTAGAGCAGCTGGGACTCAAATTAGCACCTTATGGGATGCCAGTATCACAAGCAGAGGCTTAGCCTCGCCACTGGCCCAATTTCAACTTTTAAACATTAAAATGAATTTATGTTTTAACTCCATTTTTACACAGACTTTTTAAAGTCTACTTATATGTCTTTCCAGCCTTTTAACTCCACCATCATGAACAAAGACACTTACCACCTTCAGTACCAGATAAGACTTTTTCATTTGACAGTGACCACAGATTTACAAGCTGGGCCAAGTTGCTGGTCAAAATGATTTAAGTGGCCACACATTATAGGCTTGCCTGGAAACGTAGGGACCAGGAAGTGATGGGGTTGCAGTTGCTTTGTGCCTGCTTCTTGCTCTGACCATCCATCATTCATTGTTGTTTGTGCAATTGTTCAATGGGCTGCTTGTCTTTGGTCAGTCCAGGCTGTGTGGGTAGCAGTGTGGTCAGCTGGGCTGGGAGCCAGGCCACCTGGCTTCTGCTCCCAGCTCAGCCATCCCCTAATCTATCAAATGGCTCCCTTCCCATTCCAATGTGCCAGTTTCTCTGCCTAGGAACTAGGAGCCTCTTTGCTTGTGAAGTGCAACCATGCAGGCCATCACTAAACTGTCTCCTTAATTCTCTCCTAGAAAGGTCGAAGCAGCGAACAACAGATTAGAAGATGGCACACAGGTGGAAGAATGGCAAGGAAAGAATAAAAACAGAAAAGAATACCCCATTAGTGTACACAAGGGCACACACCCTCTCCTGCTATCCAGTGCAAAGTTCTTTTCCATATAAAGATCTTCTGGTTTTGTTTACGCCTTTTAGCGATTATAAAGGCTGCTTTTAGGAGCTCTCTGAGCTTTTTCCAGCAAGAGTAGGCAAACCAGACTTTTGCATTTCATCAGAGAAAACTCAAAAAAAGACTTCTTCAATATTAGAGCGCATGGACAGATTAGCACAAAATGTTCAGAGAAAGCTATTTTTTTCAGCTAACTAGAAAGGGGGGAAGAAATTATTTACATTTAAGTGCTTTTGTGGTGGAAAAGCAAATCAAACCAAAATAATTTCCTTTCCTGTACCAGCACTATAATTTAGACCAGTGGTTCTGTATGGTTTTTATTTATTTATTTTTTAAATATATACTGTACTAAGAACCTCAGAATGACTAACTTAGAATTCTTGGGACACAAGGCTATGAATCTATATCTTTAAAACAATATCCAAGGCTCATATACATTAAATACAATCCTGCCCTATAGCTGAGCAATTCCTGTTCCCAGGATCTTACTCAACAGACATGAAAATATGTGTCACATGAACTTTAAACAGCTTTAGTCATAGTCGCCCCAACCTCGAAACATCTCCAATGTTCACCAACAGAAAAGTGTATACCTATATTGTTCATACAAGAGAACACAATTTTTTTAAATGACCCTTAAACCCAGTATGAATGACTCTCAAAAAAAATTTTTTTGAGCCAAAAAAATCCCAGGTAAATGAAATCCAAGAACAGGCAAAAATAATCTGGATGATAGAAGTCAGCATCATGATGACCTATAAGGAGTGGGGTGGGGGAAGTCGAATAGAAAAGCATATATTTGAGTATTTTAGGGTGATGGGACTGTCCTGTGTCTCGGTAAGGGTGGCTGTTACACATGCACATCACATTGTATGTGAATTCATCTTAAAGGATTTTTTTTTAATGTGAGTTACAGAGAGAGAGAAGGAGCGACAGAAAGATCTTCCATCCATTGGTTCACATGCCAAATAGCTCAATGGCCAAAGCTGAGTCTATCCAGAGCCAGGAGCTTCTTCCAAATCTCTCACATGGGTGCAAGAGCCCCATGCACCTGGACCATGCTCCAAACTTTCCCAGGCACATTAACAGGGAACTGGACAGGAAGTAAAGAGGCTGAGACTCAAATCAACACCCATAAAAGATACTGGTGCCGTGGACAGAGGCTTAGCATGCTACGGTGCTAGTCCTATTAACTTAATTTCAAAAACAAAAAATAATTCCAGGTTTCATTTGTAACACTTAACCAAGCTGTAAGATTACATTCATTAGTGGATTATTTGATCACTGTTTGCTTTACCCAAAATCAGATCCAGAGCTCCACGAGGTGAATTCTTCATTTGAGAATTTAGTACCCAGTGTGGCATCCAACCCCTGGTAGTCATTTATTCAAAGGTTGTTGAGTGAACTGGCTCACTCTCTCTCTGAAACTCTTCCAAGTAAGTAAATAATTTTTTTCATACAAACTGATAAACCAATTCAGTAAATTGTGGGATACAAAATCAACATATCAAAAAATTAGCATTTTTATATACCAACAATGATCTTGTTGACAGGAAACTTAAAAAATATTCATAACAGCTCTATCAAAATTAAATATATAGGAATAAATTTAACCAAAGAAGTAAAATATCTGTACAATTAAGAAGCACGGGTAAGGGGCCCGGTGCAATAGCGTAGCACACCCAGGATCCCATATGGGAGCTGGCTCTAGTCCCAGCAGCCCTGCTTCCCATCCAGCTCCCTGCCTGTGGCTTGGGAAAGCAGTCAAGGATGGCCCAAAATTTTGGAACCCTGCACCCGCGTGGGAGACCTGGAAGAGGCTGCTGGCTCCTGACTTCGGATTGGCTCAGCTCCAGCCATTGTGGGCCGCTTACCATCGAACAGATCTTCCTCTCTGTCTCTCCTCCTCTCTGTATATCTGACTTTGCAATAAAAATAAATCTTTAAAAAAAAAAAAGCACTGGTAAATGAAATCATCAAGGACACGTTATAAAAAGGGAAGATACTCCTTGTCATGGATTGGTAGAGTTAAAATTTAA